GCATCCATGCTCCTGATTTGCTTTGCTCCCCCTGGAATTCAAACAAGGCGCTGGGAATCTTTCAAAGGCCTGCCTGCGTGTTGCTGATTGGCCACGGAGATTTAAAAAGAAGCCGCCAGGCACTCTGCGTCGTGTGAGTGCTCTATGGCACAGCTCCCTTTAAAACCCGCATCTTGTGAGCAAGAAACTTGCTGGGCAGGGACTTGAGGACTGAATGCACGTGGGATAGCCTGGGAAACCAAGAAATAAATGGATATGTGGAGATCAACAGCTGGACTGGATTCGGTCCTGCTGTCTGCATGTGTGGTCCACCTGTGCCTCATTGTCCTGTGAGGATCTTACACCTTCCTCTGGCTTCAAAGTGGCTTCAGGGGATTCCAACACACAGCAGGTGCCCTGCCTGCTGAGCTGTCTCTCCATCAACCTCACCCTTTAAACTTTTAATTAATTTATTTTTTAATAATTTAATAATAAAAAACTGTCGTGCTAAGTTGCCTAGATAGGCTTTCTACTTAGCAGCCCTGCTTCAGCCTCTATATGCTCATATTACAGGAGTATGCCACGGCTCTTGGGTTATTTAAACTTCTCATTGTAATATGGTGTGTTTATAGAAAAATGGTCACATACTGTATAAATAGTATCCAGACTGAAAAAGAAGGCACTACCAGCATCCAAAAGTCCCCCGTGACTGCTGTTGGGCCCTGGGAACCACCCCTAGAGATGTACTCTTCTAGTCAGAGGACTGGGCGGGTATTAGGCTTGGCTGCTGTGGTTTGTCAAAAGGTTGCAAAGCAAAAACAACACAGAAAAAGTAGGTGTGGAGCAAGCTCCGAGGACGGCAAGCCCAGCAGCTCGGGCCTGTTACATGAGTGCTCTACCACCTGCCTATGTCCGGACCCTGTGTGCACAGGCCTTCAGTCAGCAACTTGGCTTGAAACTCTTAGAGCAAAAGCCACTATCAGTGGGATCCACTCAGTTAGTCCAACTTTTCATTTTAAAAATAATCAATTAGCCTTTAGCCTTAAAGGGGGTTATAGGTAAAAGACACAAAGGCATTTTTTTTTTTTGCCATTAGTATTTTTATGCAACTTGTCCAGAGAACTGTGCTGAGGAACTGGTGACAATATGGTATGGACTGAGCTGTGTTTCTTCTCTCCCAATTTCTAAGACTATATTTGGAGAGAGGCCTGGAAACCATGGCTTAAGAAGTTGTTGGACCTGTGAGATGACTCAGTATGTAAAGGCACTTGCCACTCAGTCTGATGCCCTGATTTAGAGCCTCAGAGCCCACATGGTAGATCCCCAGAGCCCACTCCCCAAAGTTGTCCTCTGCTTTCACACTTGTGTTCACACACACACACACACACACACACACACACACACACACACACTGGAGGGATGGAGAAAGATTCACACAAGAATTAAAAAATTAAATTTATAGCCAGTCAGTGATGGTGCAGGCCTTTAATTCCAGCACTAGGGAGGCAGAGGCAGGTGAATCTCTGTGAGTTTGAGACTATTCTGGTCTACAAAGTGAGTTCCAGAACAGGGTCTAAAAGCTACACAGACAAACACTGTCTCAAAAAACCAATCAATCAATCAATGAATTTATTTATTTGTTTATTTTACACCCCAATTGCAGTTTCCTCTCCATCCAGTCCCTCCCCTATGCTCAGAGGGCACCCATCTATCTGTGGCACACTTCCATCTGTGGCACCCATCCTTCTGCTATTCATATCTTATAGTCCTTGAGTCCTGCTGCTCTTCTTTGGGTTTGTAATTTCCTCATTCCCCTGAAGTGGAGCTGGATTGCACAGTTAAGTTTGTGGTTATGAGTAGAAACTAAATAAGGGAAAGAAAGACATCATATTATAATAAGACAATACCTTCTATCCAAAGGGTTTTATTTTGCCAAGCAGAGGGGAGGCTGGGGAGGAGCTGGTAGTTCAATCTTGGGGTAGCAAGCTGAAAGCCAGACAAACACTGGAGCTGTCAGTTTCCTTCCAATGCCCCTTTGATGCTAAAACATCTGCATTCTGATTCCTAAATGTCTTCCTAAACACCTCCTGACAGATTCCCTTGTAAACACATGCAACTCCTCCAGACCTTTGCTGCTGCTGTGGAAGTCTGTTAGTGCTGCTAGGCAAGGGAACCTCTGAATGTTGCCTTCTTTATAGAGAAGCAAAGAGGCCTAACTCAACATTAGTGCAGCCATGACAGGCTGCAAACTAACAATATTAGAACTAGGCCTCACCATTACAATAACCAGGAAAAGCCACAAATGTACCCTGAAGGAGATCAATCAGAATTGAGACAAACAAGTACTAAGTGCTCTAGAACATTAAGGATAGCTTATATAATTTGTATATAGATTGCCAATTTCCTTGCAGCCAGTACCAACCAGTGTTTGACAAAACTTCTTTTACCTCACTCCTGCCCAATCAGGAGTCCAACTCGCATCTGAATCCCCTGACCCCCATCCTTTACTCCTTAAAAACCCTGCCTCAACAGAGCTCCATGCTCTCCCTGATCCAACCATTGTGTTGGAATGGATGGAGAGCCCAAGCTGGATCTTGCATTAAGGTTCTTTGCTTTTGCATATGAACTGGGACTCCTGGTGGTTTCTGAGGGGTTCATGATGTGGGCATAACAGGAAGTAGCTTGTGAAAGGAGAACTTGGCATCTGTGTGTACTTTTCTGAAGTTGTATTGTGGAGTGAATGTGGTTTGAAGAGATTGTGCTGGGAGTTAAGATCAAGACTGTCCGTGATTTTTTTCCATCCTAGCATCAGACTGCTTAGGCATAAGGTAGGTGTGTTATTAGATCTGTTTACCATTATATTGTGAATTGACTGAGGAGTCAGAAAGATAACCTCTAGCATTAGCCTGTCATGACTAGTTGAAACTGGTAACTAAAATCTTTATGAACTCCCTTTTTTCTCATAGTTTCAAGAGACTGTAAATTATATATTATCTGTCATGTAAAGGATTAAGTGACCACAGT